AAAGATGAATTTATATTTTAAAGAAAAAAAGAAAATGTCAATTTATCACTATTGGCATGGGAAGCATTTAAAGGCAGGTGCAGAGGATGGAGAATAAGTTATTCCACTGCAAAAAAAGAAGAAATTATAAGATAAAAAAGGAATCTAATAAGTGAACTTACGATTTTAGAAAGGCAGCACATGCTCGACCCAAAGAATCCTAGACTCAAAAACTCAATATTACCGGTTATTAATTGCAAGCACATTTACCTTAGGAGATATTGTTGGCTTTGTTTGAAATACTTTGAGTCTGGAGAAAAATATTAGCATTACGATAAAATCAGATAAAAACCTCTGGGCAGCGACTGTAACTACTACAAGATGCCCGAGGAGCAGCGTTTGACCAGATCTTGGAAAAATACAGCCAAAGAAAAAAGCTAGAAAATGACATGAGTCAATGGAGCGCAGCCATGAAAGTGTCTGACCTCAGTTAGAGAGAGTCCTATACTGCGCTGGCCAGTTGTGTATTTTTACAAAGTGTTTTCCTCAACTGTTCTTTAAAATGGGAAAACAACATGTGATTATGGTTAAAGCATTCGATAAGAAAATGGTCCTAAATGCCTGTTTTTGCTGGCACAGCTGGATTGGTACATTTTACATTTAATGTGGTCCTGTCCAGAGAGAGAGAGAGAACATTTATTTACTATATGCACTGTACAAAAAAACATACTATATTACATTACTAGATACTTTTGCATTTACATGTGTAGCAAAAATTTAGATCAGCACATTCTCAAAACTTAATTGACCCCCCCCCCACAACCCCAAACCACCTCAAATGTATCCAGGTCATCCGCAGCTCTGTAAAAACTGAAGTCTAACTTAATCATTTTCTCAAAAACAAGAACCACATGAACACTTAACCCTTCCTCCACCTTCCGTCTCCGGGTCATATACGCCGCCATCTTTGCGTGTCCTAAGGCAAAGTTCAATTGCTGACATTTGTTCTTCTGCCGACGAGTGTATCTAAAACCACAAATAAAAATCTGCTTTGTAAAAACTTCTCCATATCTATAGAAAATGTTTTCCAACAGCACAAACAAATCTGTCAGACGAAACACCGTCTCTCCCTCACTGCAGAAGGGACATTTTTCTTCTACATCAGCGTTAATAACAGATGAAAGAGTTCACCGCTACACTGCCATGAAGGATTCTCCACTGCAGGTCTGCATGTTTCTTTGTACAAAGACCTCCAGGCTGGTTTAAAGTCAGGATCTAAGTCCAGAAAAACCCTCCATGGGGCGTCACTACGTCCACTCAGTGTTCTCTGATTCAAAGTTTTCACCATCAGTTTATAGAGAGTCTTTCCTGAGGCGTCCCCCAAAGAAGCACCTACAGGGTCCACAGGCTCAAGTGGTAAAACCAGAACAGTTCTTAAAACCAGGAACAAGCCTAATGGCAGGATGGAGATCAGTGCAGTTTTGCAGCAGTGTTCCAACAGAAAAGTCCACCAAAAGAGAGCACTCACGCTCCGTCAGCTTCTCTTTCCAGTGTTTCAGTAGCTGACTTGTGACTCGTGTAGATCTTAATCCAAGCCGATCAGCTAATCCAACACAGACCAGGTCTGTCGGCCCAGTGAGCAGTCTCTGAATGAACTGAAGACGGAAGGCAGCGCCTCTGCTGGCCAGATGGACTAGACCCTGTCCACCCTCCTCCTTGGGAAGGAACAGGACACTCTGAGGTACCCAATGCAACCTGTCCCAGAAGAAATCAACTAAAACCCTTTGGATCTGTACCAGAAGAGAAGCTGGGGGATCAATGCAAGCCAACCGGTGCCACAGAGCAGAAGAAACCAGATTATTGATTACAAGAGTGCGACCTCTGTAGGACAAGAGCCATTTCCATTTCATGAGCCTACCTTTAACCTTTTCCAAGGCATTGTCACAGTTTTTCTGCACAAACATTTCAGTGCCCAGAAAAACTCCCAGATATTTCAGTCCTCCTTTTTTCCACACCAAACCTCCAGGTAACCTGAGCCGATCCCTCAGCCAGAGAGAGAGAGAGAGAGAGAGAGAAAGAGAGAGAGAGAGAGAGAGAGAGAGAGAGGAAAACATTTGATTTGATTAAGAACATGTATACAGAAAGTGAAGGCACCATAAAGACTGGAAACAAACAATGAATTAGCGAAACAGTCAAAGCATCCTCGGCACCCTGAACGCAGTGAGGATTGTCCAGATATCCTGGCTGAATTTAGCCGTGACTCAGTTTCACGAAAGCAGTAGCACATGGGTTACCATGGTGATTTATTCTCTACAGCCGGCTTAGCCTGGTGCCTGATCTGTTCAGTCATGTATGTGTTTTGCATATTTTCATTGGCCACATTTTGGCACTATGGTAGCACTTAGTTTGTGGTCATTAGGTTTAATAATTGAAGAAGACACGAGCACCATACTTTACACACAGTGAGCAACAGTGAGGAGGTTTATGTGGAATACAAATACATAACATGTAAAAAAAATAAAAAATTAATGAAAAGTAACACGGGCACAGAAAAAAAAAGTGTGGCAGACAATAGGACCTGTGTGAGTTGCTACAAATAATTCTTTAAAAGTCAGCAGTGGATGTTAATATGACACTCAAGAAATATATTTCACATACTTTTCTCATTAGGTTTTATAGTTCTATAATACTCCCAAATTTATAGTCTCACTTCACTGGAAGTATATTGTGCAATATTTACACATTAAACAAGTTTTCTTTCTCCCTGGGATCATCTGCGACCTTTGGAGAGAAAAAACAATGATTAATACAGTGTGTTACTTTTAAGTTCCTCCAGATGGTAAGTCCAGGGGGAGGAGGAGCAACAATAACAGAAATAAAAACCGAGGCAAAAGGACAGGATGTCAGGATTGTGTACAAACTAAAGTATATTTATTCGATACTGACAAAGGAAAACCAACTCAAAACTTCTCTCAAAAGGAGAGCCCGAGCCAACAAGGTAAGACAACAATAAACACAGGGTAAGGGTAGCTGAGGGAGCAATGTCTAACTCTAAATGAACTCACTAAAGTCCTCTCTCCACTGAGGAGATAACCAGACACTGTTCTCAGACTCACAGAAGCTCTAGGCTGCTGTTCAACCCACTGGTTGCACGGGCTGCCCCTGTCCACAGGGTAGACGGGTTGGCAGTGGTCTGCTCACAGGTGGTGATCTGCCGCGTGGTTGCAAAAGGTAGTTGCTGGATTTCCAATTTCCTCAGTGGCTCCTTGTATCTCCATATCTAAGTTCAAGTCTTGCCAGGGATTTTGGTGATATGCTATTTTGTAATTTTTTTCAAGTGTGTTCAGTTCAGACATCTGACAGTTTGTAAAACACAGGTCAGTTAGCGCAGCAGGACCTGCGCACCTGTGGATGTATACTTACTACATTGATTGAATTGAACAGATTATAGGACTTCAACCTCAGGGTCAAGTTACCAATATGATACAGTATTTTCTATGGGCACCATGGGCAATGAAAAATGTAAAATAATTGAAAATGGTTTAAGAAAGGTTTGTTTGCACAATAGGAAAACAGGCAATGCAATTTAAACATATAAGAAACAAACGTGCCTTGTCCAAAAAAAGTAACATAAGCTAAAAGAACTAGCTGCTGATTACTGTATTATATTTGTATATTTGAATTGTCACCTGCAAGTTGAATTGTATTTTCTTTTATATAAATAAAGACATTTTCACCATGAATTGGTGAAAGAATATTTCTCTTGAAGTCAGGGAATTAAGTGTTAAATGCTCAAAAACGTCTATATATAGCCAAAAACGTCTCATATAGACATCTGTGTAGTTTAATTATCTCATTACAGTCTAGAAGAAGAAAATGAAGGAGTTTTATTTATATAGCGCCTTTCCAGAGCTCAAGGTCGCTTTACATGGTACATTTACACACTAACACACAGGATACATATAGTCACATTTAAACAAAATACATGTTAAATAGATATGTTTTTAACTGTGTCTTGAATGTTGCCACAGATGAAATATTTCTAAGTGAAAGGGCCAGTGAATTACATAATTTTGGAGCATTAACACTAAATGACCTTCTACCTACTGTAGACAACCGGAAACAAGGGATGGACAATAAACCAAGTTCAGTTGATCTGAGAGACCGTGCAGGGCGGCAGGTGAAAAGTAGATCAGACAGAAATGGGAGACTTGTCATTGATACAGTTACATTTTGTGTTTCCCACATATTTTTATACTGTTACTATACTATACTATACTTGTGAACTAACCTTTAAAAACTCTGTTTTAACTACAAGTCAAAACCATTTATTTTTTACAGAGTAAAGCTCAAAGATGATGAAGTGGAAGATGCACAGATTTTTATATTTCAGTGGTGGAAGCACTCTTACTTACTGTAGCATAACCTCAAATTACATAGTCCTTAATTTTGTACTAATTTAATTAGTAATCTACTTTAAGAACATAACTATTAGCTGTAAAAGCAGGCTGTATAAATGTAAAAAAGTTCTTATTTCAAATGAATAATTTAACGTGAAAATATTGTTTGGCCCTGTCTGTGGCTGTGGTTTGGTTTAGTTAGATTACAAGGCAACCAAAGCTAAATGCATGTATCCTTGGTTAAACTGTGTGGTAGGATGAGCCACTGTCAGTGGTACATGCCATGCAGCGGCCTGTCACTCCATAATGGTTCTTCCTCCTCCTTGTCCTCCTCCTTGTCCTCATTCTTATCTGCTGCCTGAGGCCATCTTTCAGTGGTTTGTTTTGACGTTGACGCCTGCGTTGCTAATCATCAGATTTGGAACGGGACAAAATCAGATAACACCGTCACTGAGACAGAAAGAAAAGAGAAAGCGAAAACAAAGAGGAAACTAGGATCCGGAATTTCCACCCTGCTGAAAAACAGTAACAGTTTACTAAGTAAAGACGTGTTTTATTCATCAGTCATTTTCATGAAAACAATCAGATAATGCTTTTGTTTTTTACCACTTTTGTTTCCAGGATGGTGTCCATGATGCTGCATCCAAACAAAGAGTCCAGTGATGGAGTTTCCTTCAGGACCTGCTGTGTTTTGCTTTTCCATCTTGTCTTTCTTCTAGTGCCGTCTGCTGGAGGTGTGGTAGCAAGGTTTAGCATTTCTGTGACTCAGTGTTAAATAATATGAAATATAAAGATCTACATGGTTGAGTTTAAAAAATAATAGTGTTTAAAAGTGAAATAACATATTAGGAAATCAGGAAAGCTAACTGCATGTAGTCTGCTGTTTGACTTTAGTCACAAGTGAACTCTTTAGATGTTTTGATAATAATTTCTGCAGCTAAGAAAGGTTACCAAAACAGAATAACAAGGCTGGTGATACAGATGTGGGCTGAGAATAGACACAGATAAGTGAAGAAAAACAGTTCATGACCAGTCCAGTCATGAACTAGGGAGGGTCGACCCGGGCGAAGTGCAAATCTCTCATTGTGGTGTTTATGTGAATGTGAAGTCCTTTATTTCCTGTGATTCTGGTCTTCAGAGTTCCAGGAAAAAGCAGAGGAAACATTAAAGTGAGACTTTAGTGGCATCTTGTGATGCCGCTTTAATTCCAATCGTGCCGTAGCATTAAAACAAAACAAAAAAGGAAGACATTTCTGTAACAACGACTCGGTCCGAAGAGGCGATAAAAGTCAATAAAAATTCTACAATCATTAGATAAGTCTGCAGCCACAGTGGCAGCTCTGTGAAGCTGTACTAGCTGTGTTCTCAGTTCAGTGCTAACAATGCTAACAGGCTCACAATGACAATGACCACCTTAGTTTAGCTAAACACAAAGCACAACTGAGGCTGATGGGAGGGCTGTTACTCTTGCGTGTATTTGGTCATAAACGAAAGTGTTGGACACGTTAAAGTTGTGAGCTGATGGTGGCGCTCCGGGAAAAGTCAGAAGGATCAATTATCTGGGAACCATGAATGTCCGTGCAACATTTAATGGGAACAATCTAATCTTTACAAATTGGTGGACTGATCAACCAACGCTGCCATCTCTAAAAATTTAACTGAATGCAAATTCAGCAGCTTTTTAAATTTGCACTGCCAATGAGAATTTGTTGCCGTACTTCACCCTGATACAGAAGTTTTTATCAGTCACAGTCTCATGCTCTTGTAACAACATGATCTCACATCCTGTCTGCGTGAAACCGACTATGTGATGGGAATTTTTGTGTGGGGGTCAACTCAGGAAGCTCTGGATGTCTTACACATCACTGTTTACTAAAAACGTCCTACTGGATGCTTGACTGCTTTACCTTTAAGTCAAACTGAGAAGTGGAGGTCACTTGTATTGCGTACTAACTGGAGACATTCGGTCGGTAAACATCTGAAAATGAAAACATAATTGAGTATCTAACCTCGGCTTCTATGTAACAGACATTTCTATCAGCGCAGCTGTCTTGTTTACTTAGAGACAGAGTAAAGGTGATGAGTCAGATACAGACTCTGAGGCTCTTGTGATCTGTGGTCGGATATTGTTGGTCTTTCTCCTGTTTTTGCAGCTCTGAGAGCTTTAATTTTTAAAAGTAAACATTTTAGTTTGATGACATATAATAACTTTGCTCTTGTATCTTATTGGTTCTTTTGTTTTCTTTGCAGCGCAGCCAGAGTTGATTTGTTCACATCAACCAATCGTAGCCCTGGCTGGTGATGATGTCATTTTGCCATGTCATCTTGAACCTGCAGTCAGTGCCAGTTCTGAGACCGTGGTGTGGACCAAACCTGGTTTGGATCCAAAGTACATCCATGTTCACCAAGATGGAAGACTGATGTTTGAGCCTCCAAACCCATCTTATAATTTCCGAACAACTCTGTTTTTGGATGAAATGATGAGGGGAAACGTTTTCCTGAAACTCTCCAGTGTGAAAATCTCTGATGCCGGAAAATACTTCTGCTTCCTTCCATCAATTAAAAAGGAAGCTTCTGTCCAACTCGCTGTTGGTGAGTCAGACTGGAGAGTTATAAATAGTCAGTGATTTCCCTGTTCTGTTTCACTAGAATTATTGTTGTAATATAAAGTGTATGTTTATACACATTGCCACGGTGCCGCCAAGTACTTGAATCCTCCTGAATTATAATTGCAAACCCCACCTTTTAAATTTAGTATAGTAACAGTTGATGAATGATTTTGCTATAAAATGTAAAAGGTAGTGCAACTTTCTCCCCTGAAAAGTGTTTTTAATATAGTTTAACAGCGATTCAGCGGCGACAAATTGTTTTGTGTTTGATCTAAATTCCTCTTCTCTTATGCTCAGGTGCCGTCTCCACGCCCATCATAAAGGTTAACTCAGATAACCCCAACAGTGTGGTGTTGCAGTGTGAGTCTGAAGGCTGGTATCCAGAGCCCGAGGTGTTTTGGCTGGACGGTGAGGGAAACCTCCTCCCTGCTGGACCTACAGAGACAGTCAGAGGTCCTGATGACCTCTATACTGTCAGGAGCAGAATGACAGTGGAGAAGAGACAAAGCAACAGCTTCACCTGTAGAGTCCAACAGAAGAACATCAACCAGACCAGACAGACAAACATCTATTTTCCAGGTCAGAAAGAGATCTAACTAAATTATACATGATGTCTGTCGATGTTCAACTGTCAAACCAGACTGTCCTCACCAGAAAAACGACAATACAGTGGCTTGCGCAGGTTTTCACCCCCGCTGGCATCCTTCAAACTGGATGGGTTCTGCTGGTGGAGACCATTCTTTAAGTCATACCACAGATTCTCAATTGGATTGAGGTCCGGGCTTTGACTAGGCCACTCCAACACGTTTGTCTGTTTTAGTTATTATTGTTATTTGTTGTCTGCCACGCCAGCTCAAATTCCCGTGAGCTGGAATGAGCTAGAAATATGAAACTTGGGGGAATAAATATGAACCCAATCGGCCACATGGTGGCGCTGTAAATAAGGCTTAATAATGCAAACTTTGAAAGGCCACAGCCCTCATGCCATAAGTCCTATTGACTTGAAATTTCTGACACAGGTCCAGCTCACTGTGCTCTACAAAAAAGCCGTAAGGACCGTTAAGGTCCGCCTATAAAATCTTTCTGCCATTTTGAATCTTTTGAAAAGCACTTTTTTGACATCTCCTCCTAGACTGTAGCTCCGATTGCCACCAAATGTTCAGTGGATCATCATTGGATCAAGACTATTAAACGTACTGAGCGACACACACTTGGTCCTGTGTTTTCTGAATGAACTTCACTGTACTGCACAGAGACTACTACTTTTCTAATACTACTACTACTAGTACTGCCGCTAGTTACCACTTCTAATATTACAGTCTTTTTTACTACTGCTTCTACTATTACCACTACTACTGCACTCAATACTACTACTATTACTACTAGTAATAGCTGTTAGTTATCACTTTTAGTACTACAGTCTTTTCTACTACTGCTACTACTATTTTTACTATTACCATTACAACATGTAGTAGTACCAGTACCACTATTTCTACCAAAGTCTATACTGCTACTCGTACTACTACTTCTATTGCTACAAATACTAGTACAAACTAGTACCACAGTCTTCCCCTCTACTACCAATTCTACTACTAGTAATACAACATTTACTACAATAGCTACTAATACTACTACCAATAATAATACTGCTTCTACCACTACTACTACTACTACTACCTGGTACTGTAGTGTTCCTGTCTGTCTGTCTTCCTTTCTTTTACTGCTCCTGGATCCATTTAACAAGAGAAATCATTTCAAAATCATACTTTTCCACATTTTAAGTACATGTGTGCTATGATTCTGAAATGTACTACCTTCTTCCATTTTTTTCTTTTGACAAACTCATTTCAACTTCCATTTATGAGAGTATAACAACTATCATCTTTTTAGCAACGTATTTTACCTCTTTTCAACTTCCAAGTTCTTATTCAGTGAATTGCAACACCATTGAGCTTCTTAATATGTTATTATGGATTTCATTTCAGCTCTTCTGCATTTTCTGCAATCATTTGCAAGTTTGTTTCATTTCAGCTTCTTCATGCAATTGAATTAAAGTCTTTTGCATTTCTCCTGCAGTGTTTTTACAAGTACATTTCAGCTTCAGCATTCACACACACCTTCCACAGGAAGTGCAATTTTCTAGTTTGATTGATGCGAACACACATCTTTAAAGTCAATACTTTGTAGAGACACATTTTGTCCGTCTGAAAATGCCTTATATCGTCAAAGTAAACATAAGATATAGCCTATTACAAGAAATAATCAAAACATAGGTCACCCAGTTTATCCAATCCTGAATGTCAAATCAGTGTCAAATTACTCAGAAATAATAGGCCTATAGCTATTACCTACTAGTTAAGCTACTTAGCATATACTCCTTAAAAAAGTAATATTAGCTACTCTACCTTTTACTGGGTGATATAACGCCACTCTCTCCCGATGAGTCCAACCATCACTGGCAGCACCGGCCGGAGTTTCTTTTTGAGTTTCATGCTGCTGTGCTGCTTTAGCTGATGCTTCATTTAAGTAGGCTATCGATGTAGAATTGTTTGCGGTTGAAAGCTTTTTACTGGTCGCACAAAGTTTACAACGGACGACAATGTTCTTTGCATCTTAGACTGTGACACAGTAATGGCAATAACGTTACTTCCTTGTTGATACTTGGAAAGGACTGAAACTTGGGGACACCCGTCATCCAGTAGATGTCCTTAAATTCTCTCCATTTAACTCGGCCTGCTCCTGTACATTTTCTGTGTGTTTGAGTTAGATCTACAGTAGGCGGGGGAGGCCACACCATCCTGACCCGCAGAGTTGTTGACCTGGTTCCATCGCTGATCCCTCGTGGGGTCACTCTGTATTTCCCTGATACATGTTGTGCTTAGTGTGTGGCTGTCTCCTTCTTTCTTCTTCCCCACCCGCACTCACGTCCCCCTAAAATGGCTGAGTGTTGTATGCCTACGTGTCTAAATGTGCAAGCATTCTGTGATGTCCTCAGTCGAGTTGGAGTGACTTTACTTTAAACAACAGCAGGCCTCCTGGAGTGTCCTCAGCACATTCTAGTTTCCTGTGAGCCTCAGTTAGTTGATTTAGGCCCCATATCATCGTAGGGCCTTTCCTGTGAGCAGGAACTCCTGTGAGTAGCCCTCTGGAAAAGGCTCCAATAACGCATCTGCTTTATTATTATTTTTTCGATTCGGGTCCATTTCTTTTTTGATAGACTGGACTCAGGTATATTTAACTTCTCTCCTTTCATTGTGCCTTTATATAGCTCCGGCACATCTAAAGTGTGCTATGTCACAGCACTGCCCTTCTACACAAATAAAATCCAAGATTTGATCCAGCATAATAGGGTAAGTCTAATGAATCGGGCTGGGGCTGGGCTGGGCTTGCACACCCAGGGCCGGAGTTTTGGGCCAGTACAGGGCTCTACTCCAGCTTCCAGTGCTTTTTCCTGTGGTCCTTGATGAGTCTTATTTCCCTGGCTCCAGGTGAGGGAGAGTAGCTGTGGCTAAAGAGGGCGACATGTGAAGGCAATGTCGCATGTAGGAAAACATTTTGTTAGTGGTTTAGTCACCAAGGAAGAATTTCCGTTATTGGGCTGTTGCCGCACTCTGGCCTCCTGTTTATGGAAACTTTAGCCCATTTACTGTACATGCCAACAAATTTATGACAGCGTGTATTTATTCACATGGTGTAATATCCATGATAAGGTGTTTTGAACTGTAGGAAAAACACAGATTACTACAACATGAGTTTTTGAGTTGGTCTGTGGTTATTTTTTTCCACAATCTCTCTAATATAACTGGTTAGACCGTAGCATGTCCTAAATGAGTCTCAGAGTTTATCTTCCATTTCTGACCCTGAGCGTCTAGCATCAAAGCAGATTCAATCTCACACATGTCTAAATTGTCATCAATGATTCCTGCGTTTATCCTGAATTAATCCTGTGCAGAGAGGGTCTGGAGGCCGTCCCTGCCCTGTGACAGCAGCAGATCCCTCTCCCAGGTCAGACCTTGCTCCCTCAACACAACATCTGCCAGCCCACAAGTCCCATCCTCAATCAACACCAGGGCTGGACTGGGACCAAAAATAGGATTTTTGGCCGAGGCGGCCCACCAAAATCAGTCGGACACCCCTCACCAATACACGATCATTCCATTTAGGGGGTCAGATTAGGGGTGTGATGAAACACTGAGACGTGACATTGCACAAAATTGGTGTCCATGACTACAAGACAAGAATAAATTGCTATAGACGTACTATTTGGAAAAAAATATTTACAGAAGAAATATTCGATAGGGGGGTCTGAAGGTCCTCCCCCAGAAGATTTTTAGCATTAAACGCTTAATTTCCTGCATAGTGGAGGCATCTGCACCAATTTATGGTGGAAAAGCACAAAATTCAGGTGGCAGGTGACAATTTACAATATAAAAATATAATGCAGTAATCAGTAGCTCTTATTTTTTCAGTTAATTGTTTTGAAGGACGCAGAAGCTTCTTCTATATTTACATTGCATTGCAGGTTTTTTAAAGTAGTGGGGAGCGGGTTATGTTGTCACACTTTTCACACTGTCTAATATTTACTGAGCACCATACATCCCAATGGTAGAAATGTCACACCAAACAAAAGATTGAAGTCGTGGGCATAAGTTTTGTATTCATTACATCGTTATATCTTATCTCATTACGGAGCTGTAGACTGTTGAATAGAGAGTGCGCACTTGTGACAATTTGCCCCATCGGCAGGGAAGTTGTCACACTGGATTATCAAACAATTACAACACTTAATTGTGAATATTGATTTCAATTTCCAATTCAAACCAGAACTAAAAATAAAAATAATCAAGCCAAGAGAATTTAGAAAATAAATAATTTAATTCAAAACAAAATGTTGGCAGAGCACACATTAAGTGGCACAACCTCTTTCTTTCAACTTTAAAATCAAACGTTCTCTGGAGTGCTGATAGATCTATACTAACTGAATGTAATGCTGCAGATAACTTGCTTAAGTGTAAAACTTCTTAACTAAACACATGTGTTTAAACACACTAATTTTGTACGACATCTGTATCTGACTATCAGACGTGTGTTTAGAGTCACATTTCTGGCACACATGAATTGCTTGGCCTGAGGTGCAAACATCTGGGGTCCATTTGTTGCTTTTCACTCACTTAAACCACGTCTTCTTTTCACTGTATGTAAATGGCTCCACACAGATGAGGCCAAAAGAGATGTCAGCGGCTGGTGTCAAAATCTTCAGCTGTACTTCTGATTGATTTGTTCTTCAACTTCACCTGCCTGACTGCCTTTAACATTATGTCAGGTGGCGTGCTGCCATTCTCTGACTTCTGTTGATAGTTTTCTTCCTTCCTTCAAAAACACATTCCTCCTGCAATTACAAATAAATTAGGAAGTTGAACATTGAAAAAGAAGTCACACAAAATGGGTATTTGATTTTTGTGTTGGAGTTATGAGCAGTGTGACAACTTACACACGAGACAACTTACCCCGCTCTCCCCTACAAAATAAACCTATTTCATACAACAATTCTTAGTGCAAGCCATTTTTCACAAGAACAT